TTTTTCGTTTAAGGTGTGGAGCCGTTATAACCTACAACCCAATCGCCTAATTAAGTATACTCCCCACCCCATTCATTCAGAAGAGATAACATAGAAAAGGGGTGTTGAGAGCTGATCACCTAAATTATCAAATGATCTTTTCCAAAGCAGTAACTTGGAAAGGCATTGTTTTTTTCCGAAAAGAAAGGATATATTTTTTTAAGATATAATATATACCTAAATAATTATCTTTTGTATAATATATTTTTCAAATACAAATTATTATAAACTATCTTTGCGCCGAGTTTTGACATGGGGACTTTGTGTTTGGTGAACGCCAACAATCTAGTACATACACTCTCACATCCGAGGACGTTACAAGTGTATATCAATATTATAAATTGATTGGTTTCAACATTATATCCCAGAACAGGCCCCCTTTGACCACAGGAGCAGTCCATTGAAAGAACATTTTTTTTTTACTGATTCAGCCACTTAAAGTTCTAATTTTCTGAACCAATCTAACTGAGGTCTTACCTCGTGGACACTCATTGTGGTCTTTAACCTGTAAATAACTACGCCCCCCCCCCCCTATCGTTTCCCCCTATGGAAAATACGCAGGCTTATATATGTATAGTTCAAAAGCAGTATCATAATATAGATTTGTGACGAGAAGCTAATGTAATATAAATAGGGCCTACTTAATACCCTATAAAGTTTTTTCACAATATAACCGAATTGTTTACTGTCCTCGTTGCATGGATTCAAATCACAAATTCGCCCACGCTAGAAAACTACAAATCCGAAGATCTTGCTTTATAAAAAAAATTCACTTTCCATTCTATAAATATTCCAGTCAATTATAGATTATAGAAAACCACCAAACTATAAATACGTGGATAATGCCGTGATAGCTTAAACCGCCATTGTTATTCATTGTCGCGTTACCCACGGGGAAAACGCAATTCTTCCCACAACTTCCATATTTAATCCTTGTCGAAAAACGTTCGAACCCCAGTCAAATTTACTGGGCAACTTTTTACTGTAAACGGCCGCGTGTCAGTCAATGTGAACGCCTGTACAATGTAAAGGAAAATTTTAGTTAGAAAATAAGATCTTGTTTAGCTCGCTCGAGTCAGTATATGCGCGACCCCTTATGCTACACAGCTTGGCAGAATCCACTGAAATCTAAATATAGGGTAACGCACAAATTTACTTGACGAAACAAAAGTTATGTAAGCGGGGGGGGGGGGGGAGTTGGTATCGCTTGAGACATCCATTGTTTACATACAGGCTGTAAGACCTCAGTAGAATTGGTTTTAAAAATTAGAAGTTTAAGTGGCTGAATCAATACAAAACTATTTTTTCAATGGGCTGCTAATGTGGTCAAAGGGGGTCTGTTCGCGGATATAATGTTGATCCCACTCAATTTATATTATTGATATACACTATTAACGTCCTCGGATGTAGGTGTGTATGTACTAGGTTGTTGGCATTCACCATACACAAAGTCTCCATTTGTCGGTAATAAAACATAATGTGCGTTCTAGGTTGATCACATTAATAAATGACTGTTCTATCGCGATATTGTACCACACATCAGTTATAAACTGTTATATTGTTTTATCCCATGTGCGGTCAAACGATAGGGGGGGGGGGGGCGTAGTTATTTACAGGTTAAAGACCACAATGAGTGTCAAGTCCACGAGGTAAGACCTCAGTTAGATTGGTTCAGAAAATTAGAACTTTAAGTGGCTGAATCAGTAAAAAAAAAATGTTCTTTCAATGGACTGCTCCTGTGATCAAAGGGGGCCTGTTCTGGGATATAATGTTGAAACCACTCAATTTATATTATTGATATACACTTGTAACGTCCTCGGATGTGAGAGTGTATGTACTAGATTGTTGGCGTTCACCAAACACAAAGTCCCCATGTGTCGGTATTGAAACATAATATGCCTCCTCGGCTGATTACATTATCGCGATATTGTACCATACATCTATTTTTATACGCCCACATTTTCATGTGGACGTATATTGTTGTTGCCCCTGTCTGTCCGTCCGTCCACAATTGTCTGTGAACACTCTAGAGGTCACAATTTTTATCCGATTTCAATGAAACATGAAATATAGGTTTATCACCCCAAGATCTCGGCTCCTTTCGATATTGGCATGTATCGGACCGTAACTTCATGGATTATGGCCCCTGAATGTAGGAAAAATCACGTTTTTAGCTTGTGAACACTGTAGAGGACACAATTTTTATCCGATTTGGTTTAAACTTGAAATGTATGTTTATAACCCACAGATCTCGGCTCCTGTCGATATTCGCGCATATCGGACCATCACTTCCTGAATTAGAGCCCCTTAGTGTACGAAAAATCGCGTTTTTAGCTTGTAGACCCTATAGAGGTCACAATTTTTATCCGATTTAGAAAAAACCGTTTGAATATATCACCGTTACACCCTAATGATGGTTGAGTTCGAATTTCGTAAAAATCGGACCGAAACTGACGGACAAAATGGCCGCCCCTCGTCCGCAAATAGTGTCAAAATATTGTGTATCAAGAGGTCACAATTTTCATCTGATTTTGATGAAACTTGAAATGCATGTTTATAACCCAAATATCTTGGTTCCTTTCGATTTTCGTACATATCGAATACTAACTTTATGAATTATGGCCCCTGATTGTACGTAAAATCGCGTTTTTAGCTTGTGGTCCCTCTAGAGGTCAAAATTATTATCCGATTTAAAAAAAAAACCGTTTGAATATATCACCGTTACACCCTAAGGATGGTTGAGTTCGAATTTCTTAGAAATCAGGCCAAAACTGTCCGACACAATGGCCGCCCCTCGCACGCAAATAGTGTAAACATCTGGTAAATCAAGGTTGTGGACCCTCTAGAGGTCACGATTTTGATCCGATTTGGTAGAAACTTGAAATACATGTTTATAACTCAAAGATATTGGTTCCTTAGATATTTACGCATATCGGAGTGTAACATCCTGAATTATGGCCCTTGATTGAACAAAAAATCACGTTTTTAGCTTGTGGTCCCTGTAGAGGTCACAATTTTTATCCGATTTCAAAAAAACGTGTGAATATATCACCATTACACACTAAAGTCTTGGTTCCTTTTGATAATCGTGGATACCCGAACTTAACTTCCTGGATTATGTCCCTTGATTGTTCGAAAAATCGCATTTTTAGCTTGCGGATTCTCTAGGTCACAATTTTTTCCGATTTTAAAAATCGTTTAAATACATCACCATTCCACCATAATGAATTTGAATTCGAATTTCGGGAAAATGGCCGTTCTTTGTACGCAAATTGTGTAGAAGTGTGTAATACGAAGGTTGTGGACCCTCTAGAGGTCACAATTTTTATCCGATTTTGATGAAACTTTAAATTTATCTTTATATCCCAGAGATCTCAGTCCCTTTTGATATTTCCACATTTCAGGCCATAACTTTCTGGATTATTGCCCCTGATTGTACAAAAAATCGTGTTTGTTTTTAGCTTGTTCTCTATCCATCTCTTGAAAATGTGGGCGTATCCTGCCTGGCAGCCGCTGGTAAACAGTTATATTGTCTTTATTTCCCATGTGTGGTCAAACTGAACATGTTATATAGTTTAAACAATATTTTATTCATTTGAAAAGGATTGAACAACAGGCAAAGCCTATATAAGTTCTTTCCCAACATGTTATATGAAAGGGTGCACTATAAATATGCTGTAATAATAGTAATAATAATAATAACAGTATGATATTATAGAGCAGATGACCTCGTTTGGCGGCGTTCCAACATACACCATGCGTGTCCTCGATTAGGCGTAAATATCATAGGGACTCAGTCGGTCGTATTTCCTCAATTATTTGCAACATCCTGTGTGTCTGCATTTCTTCTGTAAAACGTCAAATACAGAAAATATATAAATTGAGGTATTATTTATATATTTTTCAAATCGTTTGATGTACTAGAGATCAGACATAACTGTGTTTTTTAAGTTTATCAAGACCTCGATTAAAAGCATCCAGTCAAAGTCCTCGATTTACACCATAAACATGTATGGTGTGTGGGTGTGTGTGTGTGTGTGTGTGTGGTTGATTTAGATGCATTTGACATGTCCCCTATACACATATAAAATGTGCCACAAGATAAAAAACGCAGACATATACAAACTAACTGAATAATTGTGAGAGCGCCTGATCTTAAAGTAGCCTGTGTGTTTGTAGCCTTTTGTTTACTAATTGGCAAATAAATAAAATGGTTTTAGGGTAGAAGCGAAATTTTCTATAGTATTTTTAATTTCTTTCTGGGGAAGGATTTTCTCTGTCTTGTAATTGTCTCTCTGGTATCAAAAGATGTCGGAAATGCCGTCGAATAACTCTACGGTCAGCCATCTTTTTGAAGCAGAAACAGACTTAAGGTTGGTAAGCAAGTCGTATACCTTGCTTGGGACTTGTGCTTATATTGACTATGTTTAAGAACGAAGTTGTGCTTAAGTTTTTTTCTTGGAACGCATAATAACGTTCTTGTGCTTACAATGAAGTCTACTTAAAATCTTAGCACAAGAACGTTCTTAAGAATTTTCTGGGAACACAAAATAAGGTAAGTTTACTTAAATGCAAAGTCTACTTAAAATCTAACCACAAGAACGTGCTTAAGAATTTTCTAGGAATCGGGTCCAGGCTAGCGAGCCAGCGTCCTATCCACTTAGCCACCGTGATCCCCTAATAGTATGTATCAATAAACCAATAAGAGGCCATGATGTTTAAATGCTACAGTCTTGTGAAAACCACACAGGCACATAGGGAGGTCTGAGAATAAATTTCTGAAAGAAAAAAATGTATTGTGGAACTCTCGTGGTGAAAAACACCACAGAATAATATTTTGTAGAATCTTACAAGATGATAGGATAAACTATTATTGTTCCAGCGAAATAAAAGGAAAATGTTTCATTTAATTTTTCGTTATTTTCTGTTGATTTCATACATTTATATGTTTTCTATTACAG